TTCAGAATGTCGTCAAAACGTGTCAGGATGTAGTATATAGTGGAAATAGTGCGATGCATGTCGTAGAAATCACCTCAGGAAAGTATTTCACAAAGAAAAGTCATTTTGGGTTTTGGCACCCTTTTGGGTGCTCGGACCCTAATTATGAAGCTACAGGAGCATCAAAATGTTGCATTTCCATGAAAAAATAGGCTTCAGTGAGTTTATTTCACAAGCTGGCCTCACTAGCCACAGAGGACACATTTCCATGATATGTTGACAGTTTTTTTAGGCCAAAACCTGTAATAGTTTCTCAACTCAGTTTTTACCAGATGCGCTGTTACACCATTTTGTCCTAGAAGTTGTCGTTAAGCTGATGTTGACATTTTCAAAAAGTTTAGTTCTACAACAGAAACGGATTGAAGATGAGCAACAACGAATAGCAAAATTATTATCAAATTTGGCTGAAATTGTGTACATTTCCCTAAAGTAACCTTTAATTGTACCTAACACTATAGTCGCCTTGTTAAATAACTTTTGTCTCCCCCTTCTGGCAGCGAGAGTAATTACATAAACACTGTCAACACGTGCTCATGACGTATTCTTGTCCTTAGTTGCTCTCTGTAATCCTTCCTCTGAGTGCAGAGTTTCTATTTTATCTGGAACATCAGAAACTTTTCTTTAGCTCTTTCCGCCATACTATGTGCTGTGTGTTTTGTAAACACACTGCTAACAGTGCACCAGAGTGGAAATGGTGGCACAAAAACTAGATTTAAAACCCAACTGTACTGCAAAATACAGAGAAAGATATATATTAAACAGCATTGTGTGAACTAATTTTGCAAGAATGTAATGGACGTTTAATTGTATGTAAAAGTCCTGCACTCCAGCTTTAATGCTACTATTTTAGGCAAGATGAAACATTAGCAGTTAGTTTGCATTGAAGAAGAAAATGTACACAATTTATTCTATCCTGTACTCTTCTGCTGTTGGCAATTTTGACGAGATTAAAAATACATGTTCATCTTTATATGCTAGATGTGAAGTTTGACAGGCTGTGATTGGATGATTTGTTTAGCAAATACTCAAGATCAGTAACCCTTTTATTGCATACACAGGCATGTCAGTGTGGTTGTAAACCTTGACAAATGTAAATCCTTCAAAGTTAATTGAGCGTATAATAATCCGCGACGCTTTAAACTGTAAGCACGCTCATTTATTTACATCACATTCACATTACAGTTGGTGATAATTACAATGCTACAGCATGACACTGTAATATACAGAAAATGCTGCTGTAGGTTTCCTTCATAATCAGTCGACTTCTTCCAGACTTCCAGCTCTGCACACAACACCAATACAGAAAATCACAACTGCGAACACGGTTCCCTTCAAGTAGCAAACTTGTACACCCTTTACCCCCAAAATACCTATAAAATACGATTTAAATACCCCAAGAGGTGTTGAAGTTTCCTCCCGACAGTGCAAAAGACATTCAAAGCAGTTAATTCAACACAACGCATAAAAAGAGAGACGCCTGCCTTCGAGCAGAGCAGTGATGGTTCGAATGTTAGATTTTCCAAAAAAGATATTAAAACCATAAGAGCCGCAGAGTTTCATCAGACAGACCCGACGCACAAATATAATTCAAGTACAATAGCAGACTTATGATTCGACACGTCTGGTTCACTGGGAACAAAGAGAGTCATGAATAAAATTCAAACAGAAGCAAAAACAACAAGGGACATTAAAAACTCAAGGTTTTTACAGACATCCTCTGCCAGTGTTTTTAATGATATTGCACACCTAATAATTTAAATATGACTCAGCGATGAGTGAATATTTATTAACATTGACTTCATTCTGCAGTGGAAATCAGTAGAAATAATTTGTCAAAAGCAGCATTAGTAATAGATTTAAATATGACCTACACAGCTGACCTATATGCTTCAGGAGATTTTTTATTTAATGGACGAGCAAAAGGGGAACAATAGCGATATTTAGAGAAAAGATCATGACCTCGGTCTGAGTGACAGCCGAGTTCAACAAAACTGAGATTTCAGGATAAAAAATAAATAAATACAGACGATCCAGTGACTTTAAACGTCCTTCTGTTGGCGTGAGGCGACCGGCCGCTCCGCCTATCTGATGTTAATTAGCTGGTGCCCTGTTACCATGGCAGCTCAGAGCAGGTCGGGCAGGATGAGGCCCGGGGGTTTGGGCTCCACACAGTTAATCCAGAAATTGGCACAGCTGGCGTGGTACTGGTGGCCGCCGTACAGCAGCTTGAAGTTGTCCGTCTCCGAGTTGAACGCCTGTCCGAGTGAAAGGGAGAAATATTAGACACCTGAGACAATCAATCCGACTGCACACGAGAGGGGTCGTCGAAGTAGGGCTGCACAATTAGTGGGAAACGAATCAAGATTTTGTCTTCTCACAGTTAAAATGACATGTAAAACACATCCCAGTTGGTGAACTGCTGGAACTGAGTGGAGACTAGAAGCTTCTCTGTCGACTGCCACCTGCATGTGAGGCGTTCAAGGAACATCTGGAAATTGTAATGACTGTCAATAAGCAGATGTTCAGCAAGTGAAGCATTATTGGTAGAATTTTATTAATATTTTGCCTCTTAAGAGTTGCACTACATTCAGATAATGAAATTTTAGGTCTTACTTGATGCAAAGATTTGTGTATTAGCAGGAATGTAGCGAGAGACGGGCTCTGTCTATTTGAAGGTAAAGTGTAATCAACTAATAATTGTGATAAATAATTGTGATGTCAATCTTGACCAACATAATCATGATTATTCTTTTGCCGATAATCGTGCAGCCCTGAATCAGAGAGATGGAGCTACGTGTCTACAGCACTAGTGGTATCTGGGCTTTGTTTTTCTACTGCTTAAAGGGAAAGTTTGATTTATTCAACTACGTACAAATGAGGAGTTGCACAAAGTGGCGCGCTACAAGATGGAGATCTCTAATGCAGTTAGCAAAGTGATCGCTCCAGGCAGCTAATTTTGGTGTTTACTTTCAGTCAGACTCAAAAACAAGCCTTTAATGATTATTGTCTAAATCAAGCTTTTCGGAACGCTGCAGGCATTGTTGCCAACTTAACGGCTTTTCAACGACGATTTTCAAAAAAGCATCGAATGACAAATCTTGCCACTTTTTAGGCAAATCTTAGCTACTTCACAAAAAAAGACGTCTGCCAGTGAGCATGAGGTCTTATTTTTTTTCTGCTGCAGGCACACCTTCCTCTGCCCGTTAAATGAGTGTCAGAGGAGCCCGGCAGCTGACGGAGCTGTGAATGTATAGCGTCAAACCAGTGCACATGAAACAGGCTTGTGCTTGTGACATGAGCAGAAAACCATCAACGCCAAGAAGCGTTTCCGCTCTGCATGCACAAATATAGCCCAGCGATCACGGAATGTAACGACCGACCACTCGCTTCAACGTCAACACTTGCTGCCTCGACAAAGTGACTTCTGACAATTTGAAGGTGAATCCAGTGGCTGATGCTCTTCTTACTGCTTGCATGAGGTGTGTTGGTTATGTTTTGCAGCCGACTCTGTTTTTCTTTTTGTGATTGTCTGTCCAATAAGGTGGACCGATGTCGGCCGCCAAGGCTGACTGGAGGTAAAGTGAAAAATGACAACTTAAATATGCCAGAATGTAGTTTTCTATGGCATTTCATTAGTCAAAAAATCTGTACACATGAAAACAAAGTGTGCACACAAGATCGCAAGGGAGCATTTGAGCTCAGCATGCAGAGCGTGTAGGGATGGTTTAGCCCTGTATTTCAACATCGAGAGCAGAAATGAGGATGGTTTGGCGCTCACAGATACAGTTGTGCATCTGTTTTGTTGGGAATTTGACTGTATTAAAATACAGTATCATGTGAGCGCAGGGGGTAGGAGAGAAGCACATGTAAAGGACCGACACCAGGCAGAATGCAAATACAAAATGATGCCTACGCTATTTCGCGCAGGCTGTAGTTGCTTTACACTGAAAGTAGTTGGCAATACTGGCTGCAAGGAGCTTACACTTTTTGGTTCAACTTTTGTGTGACTTCTCGTTACTTCTAAATCTCTACAAGAGAGGTTAGCATGATACATAGAGAGAGCCACAGTAGGCACATGAATAAGAAACTCAACAGCTAGTGCAAGAAACCCTTCTAACGTGCCGCTATATTGATCAGCATCTCAAAACGTATGTTTAAATAATAAGTATTGGCACCGATGTTCATTTAGAGCACGAGTCACGTCCTTTTTAAGAGCAACACTGTAGTGCACAGTTCAGCTTTAATGTAGGTGACCCTGCAGTAAACTCTCGCCAAGTTACGCAGGAGAAAAGCTGCCTCGGGCAAGAAAAAGGATTTCAGTACACATGGCTCTGGAGGCACGCAACACCTACTGGGACAAGCTGAACTTCTTTAAAATGGCCCGCATAAAATTATATGAGTTTAGGAAAAGAAGGGTAAAAAAATACACTGCATATAAATAATACTAAACAGTATAAAGTGTTGTTTGAGCCACACAACCACATGCTGTGTGAATCTCACTGATCCCATCCAAATCTGAACAATTGTTTACAGAGAGTCTAAATAAATCTAAAGATTGTCAGCGATGGTTTGGAAGGATGCTGTCGTGTTTGACTCAAAGCAAAGGATCCTACATGCTGTGACACATGTACGCTGTTAAATATACTATCCTATGGAGGCACGACAGTCTCCTGGTATTTCTGACTGTGATGAAATCCATAAATCTCCACCGTATGATGTTTAAAGAGACCTAAGATGTTGCAAAGGTATTGCGCACGGCATCTGTTTAGAGACTAAATATACATTCCAGATCCAGTTTTCACGGCTGTACTGAAGCGGCATGGCTGCAGCTGCACACAGGGTTGCACTGGTGTCATGTTTCCTTATGAAACAAACAACAACAACAAAAAAAGAGAATTTGGCTTATGCATCAAGATGACGGCGTCTTAAATTATAAACTTCAAAACTCTGGAAAACATCTTCACGGATGCTGATTTATCTCAATCAAGACAGACAAGCATCAAAGCATGAAGACACGCTCTGCTTTGAGGCTGTATGTCTAATCAGATGTAGCAGTTATTGTGTAAAATGGGGGAAAATCCTCCCAAACATTCTCCCAAAAAATAACCAAGATCAGAGAGCAAGCTTTGCCTGCAGGTTTAAACATGAAAGCAAAAAAAGAAAATTGTAAGGTGACCTAAAAATATCTGCGAGGTGGTTCTACAACAGCCAAACAGTTCTCAAAAGAAGTCATGTTGTCTGTTTTTCCAGATACGTAATAATCTAGTCTGACTACATCCAATCTGAGCAACGTACATCGTAGAACCGGCTACGACTGAAGTTCTGTGAGAAGTTTAAACCACATGCTGCCGTGCTATTGATTCACAAAGGTTGCACAGTTTGACGCATTTCCACTGTCTGTGCTCCATCGTGGCAAATAGGGATCGCTCATTTAATTCTGTTAGAGACAAATTAGGTAAAAATCCCCACAGCCAAACCTTCTACTTCATAATCTGAAAAAACATTTGCTGAGCTGTAGCTGTTCAGAAAATGAAACGTGGCGATCCAACCCCTACTTGAGGGGCTCTGATGCAAGTTTGCGTTTTCGCCGGGCCCAGCTGTAGCAACTGTGCGTGCAATCAGGAGACGCTAATGTGTGTGATGTGCAGTTTAGGAGTTTGCATCCCTGGTGAAATAATGGAGTTGAAGCCAGAGAAAGGAATGAGTCATGTGCAGTGAATCATAGCCTCCCACACAGAAGCAGAGGGGAGACGCATGCAGAAGGCAGCGACTGCGCACCAAACAAAACGCACCGCCACAACACACCATTAAGTCAGATACGTCTCCACCTGCCCAAATGCAGTCTGCAGCACAGATGCTCTGCTGGATGAAGGGCTTTCTTAAAGGAGCTGAATGACACATTTCCACTCTGTGCTCTTTCTCACATACTCACATTTCACAGGCAGAGCGATTTCCTTTCAGAGCTCTTTTGTGCCCTGGCCTACTTGTTTCCACAAACCTGCACTTAGGACTGCCAAAGCTGGAAATGCTGGAGTGAGAGGGCGCGAAATGAAAGGGTGGTCACACAAAGACACGCTGTAATGCCGCCTCCTTTCACTGCCGAGCCTTTCCTTCGCAAACTCTCCAGCGTCTCTGAAGACTTCACCTGCATGGCGGCAAATGGAGGCCAATTTCCCCTGTTTTAACTAGATAGAGCCTTTTAGACAGGCGGCCGCGGGTAACTCGACTCCGAAACAACAATGAGGGCATTCGTGCTTTCAAGCTGTAGTTGTCAGATAAAACAGCAACTCTACTAATTCGCCTGACCTTTGTAGCTGCATGTAAAGGTTGGGCTTTCAAACCGGGACGATATCTGTCTGGATAATATGAAAATCCGCCTTGAATGCAAACTACGGTTTTCTATACTGTCTTGTGTTTCTATAGAGTCGAAAATAAATGAGACATAATTACCCTCAACCTCCTGTCACTGTCTTTAGTCATTGCCTGGAAGCACAAGAGCAGTCAGAAAGGTGAGGAAAACTCATGCAATGCTGAGAGTAAAGGAAAAAAGCAGCAAGCAAACATTCAGACCAGCAGTTTCACCACTTTTCACAGTGTATTTGTTGGTGAAAACATGAAAGAGTCCAAGCCATTACCCTCCAGGCTCCTACACATTTTCTATCTCAGAATTCAAGAGATTTTGCCCCCATTGATCTTGAGTATTGATCGCAGATTTCAGCCAGTGCTTGGTATGCTCATAGTAACAGATCGGGGCAGTTAGTCCACTACTATAGTTCATAGACGAATCTAGACGAGCCACCGTTACTGAAGGCAGACCTCACTCTGCTGCCTGTGCTTATTCTTAATATATGCACAAACTCTAGTTCTTCAAAATAGTCACTAAATGCTACTAAAATAAATACATATAACCTGAAATGTTTTCATCTAATCTAGTTATCAGCTGTTTCAACAACAAGCTGAGAAACAAAAGAGAGTAAAAACTCCATGACATCAATTTTGCTTTTGAAAATCTCCATTAAATCCTTAAGTGTTGGTCTTAGTTCTACAGTATCACGTGGTGAGAATGAAATGATGATACGATAGTCCATCACCTGAAAATTTATTGGCTGCTGTTTTTATAATTAATTAGTCGTTAGTCATTTCTTTCTAGCAGAAAAAGCAAAAATCCACTGGCTACAGCTTCAGTTTTGGCTTCAAATGTAAATGTTTGCTGAAAAAACACCACATTTGAAAACATAATCTTGGATTGTAAGAAAACAAAGGAATTTCTGACCATTGTCAGTTAAATGAAAAGATAAAAAGACACTCGGATTAATCTATAATAAAAATACGAATTAGTTGCATCCCTGTGTTTTTTTCTTCTCCCGTTTGCAGTGCAAGGAATCATAAAGTTTAGTTTCTGAAATCATATGCTAACAAGTAGTTCATACTACGAATGTTAATCCACACAGCACCTCACATCAGACTGAACATAATGTTCTTTTCTGTAATTTCAGACTAGTCTAGCAGCCCAGCATTTACTCAGGCTGTCTTCGTCTGTCGGCGGATCACTGTTGAATGATTAAGCCGAACATCTCTACTTTCACTATCAACATTAATGTGTTCAGCTCTCTGCTGCCACAGTAATACCAGGGCACCGGATTCGTCTATAACTAAAAAAAAAAACACCTTGTTCACAGGAGAAAACAGCCAGAAAATTCAGATTTATGTTCCTTGTTCTCCACCTTTGAACTTTTTCACAGAGACACTCTGAGACTTTGTGTGTGTAGGAGCCCTGCTAACCACATTAAAGCATGCTGTGACAGAGATGGGCAACCAAACAACAGATCTATAATATTAATGAATATTGAGAAGAAGGGAAAATTCACAGAACAAACTGTTTGGATCCAAACTCCTCTTAGCTGCTGTCTGAGCCGCACACACACGGCTTTATAATCAATCCAGAACCTTGAGGCACTTCACAAACCTGCATTAATATCAATAGCCAGAAATGCTAAATTATTCAACTTAAACTTCTTTCCAGTGCTTCCTCCTGTAATCACCTAAATTAGCATTTATCGTTGAGGCGAGGAGCATCATTAGCCATCATTTCGGGTGAAACTCATAACTGCTGCCACCTTTGAGTGACAAAGTGAGAGGAGATGAAGCTGCTGGCAGTCGCCCATCTCTGTCTCTTGACCTGAAGAAGTAACGAAGATGACAAAAGTGCAGCGTCCCAGAAATATCAGTCCAGTGGGGACAAGTTGAGACTGACTGAATATGACAATAGCTTTTTTCTTTTTTTTGGCTCTACATAAATCAACAAATGGGATAAAAAAAAATAATTAAAAAAAGAAAAAGAGTCATTTCAAAGCATGAGTTGAACAGCAGCCATTGAGCTCATCTGCTGTCAAGCATTTTTCACATTTCTTTGATGCCACGTCAACATCTCCACCCTCCCGTACCTCTGGTTGAAAAACAAATCAGTACCTCTTCACTAAAGGACAATGCAACAATCAGTGCCGTCTGCTGTAGCCAAAGCTGTTCTTTCACTTCATTATCCTCAGAGGGGATTCTATTCTCCACTTGGCTTTTATGCATTCTTACCAGTGTGGCTGTGCCAAAAATGTAATTAAAAGATGGGTTATTAATCTCATGCTAGTGGCACAGAGACAAAATAAAACTGCATTAATTTCAGCGTGCCTGCGTGCACACAAACGTGAGAGGTGAGAGAGTGTGTGCAGGTCTGTTATCCGCCTTACTCCCTGCTTATGACTAATGTGTAAGCCACATCTGCTCGCAGCCTAGATGCCTCTCAGTCAGCCATATCTTGCCCGGACCATCCATCTGGCTCTGGCTGAGCAGCAGAGGGATCACAAGAAACAATCAACGCCACCATCCCGCCCTCCAAACCGCAGGGTCCGAGAATGCCATTAATGGCCCACGTCGATGAAAATCACATTCACCGTAGGCAAGGGGGGTAGACGTACAGCAATTCTGCCCAGGCTGCTGACCAGTTATTAGAAACACTGATGGTAGTTAGATGACAGTGGCGAGGTGAGCAGCTACCTCGAGACTGAGGTGACAGAATAGAAAATGAAACCCTTCCAAGACAAAGTAACAACCCGTGTGACCTTGAAGAACCAATCCCAGAGTGAAACCCAACCCCCCGAGGTGCCAAAGTGACAACTCTCCTCTCTCGCACTTATTTCACATTGTTATCCTTGGACGCTTTTTGGTCTTACGTAAGTGTAAAAGCTGGGAGACAACAGCAACCTACAGTGGCCGTCCAATCACAGCTTAGCAACCGTAACTAGGCACAGCAGGCCTGTCAAGCTTTGACTTTATTCACATGAGAGACACCTGGCATTTAAAGAGTTTGGAGAGTGTTGTCTGAGAGAGTGAGGAACTGATTGAACACTGCTCTACAGTAAGTCATAAGCCTGCAGAGTAACTAACTCGCTGTGGTAACTGAACATTACTTCCTAGACGATCACCTGACTGCCCCGGCTGTGAAGCTGCTTCGAGAAGAAAGCTCAGTGTTGTGTTTCCCTACTGTGTGGAGGCTGACCTTAATACTATCAAGGTTTAGGCTAATGTTAGCAGCTCCGTCTTGCTCTTTATTGGATTTGGAAAGTTTACAGTCCAGTAAACACTGGTTAGTTGTCATCCTCTTGCAACTATGAAAAAAAAATGTGTAATGTGCTGTTTGAAAATACAAACAAAGGCTATAATTGCCTCATTTTTCCTTCTCATGCTTGTACCAACTAGCTGTCAAAAACTGTCCAAGAGCTACTCGGTAACATCACTCTGATGCTTTGGCTACATTGAACGTATAAAAGCCAATTCATGCTATCCACATGACCGATGTGGACTTTTAAAGTCAGCAGCAGAAGTGCATGAGGTTCAAGTCAGAGTACAATCGGTATACGTCGCAAATGGTCACATTACTCCTCATATCGCATGCAGAAAAACACACAGAGCTCCTGTGGTCGTGTCTGATAAACCAGTGGCTGCACCTTACTGTCATTCTGCTATAGGACAAAAAAGCGCTCTGAATTGTTTGTGTGACGTTAAACCAATCGCAGAGTTAAGCGATGGATGCAGCTTTGGTGTTCCACAGTCAGAAATGTTCGACTGCACGTCTACACAGAGGTCTGTGTGGATCCTCGTAGACTTGAGTGAATGACAAAGTTTACGTCGCATGCTCCCTTGCAGACACTTAGGCAAGAAAAGCATGAATTAGTCTTGATGTATGCGGACCAGTCGCGGAGCAAATGTGCCGTGTAATGTATCTTTTTACTGGCTAGAGAGCACGTACAGCGAAATAAGACTGTGAAATGAACTTTCATTTTGGGATGGTTGTGTCTTCAGTCTCTGAACGCAGCACAGTGCTGTGAAACATCATATTGTCTGCCGAGTTTGTGTCATATGGGTAAGTTAACACCTACCAAGAACAGCAATTAAATTACTAAACAACCACAAGTTGATACTCGTCAAACATTTATGGAAGTGGAAGCTCTGTTAGCTACAAAAAAGGCAATTTCCTTTATCCCAGTAGTTAGATTAGAAAAAAAGTTAGTGACTGATTTGTGTGTAAAATAGCTGCACAAACCTTGTGTAGAAATATAAATAGAACGTTTTAAGCATGGCTCTCCACAGCATATACACATTAGTGTTGCAAGTTTCACTGATTACAGTAGAAGCACAGTGGTGCAGCAGCTGCTATCTGAATGGTTGAATGTAGCCACCGTATGAGTCTTTTAGCATGTTTTTATATATACAGAAGTAAGTAAACGCTACAGTGAAAATCCAATCCATACTTTTACAGGAAACTCGCTGACTACGACAGTTCAGCTGGAAAGTTTTGTCTACTTCTGTTTTGTTCTTTACTACGAATTCTAACTACCCAATCTGCCCGTTATCGTTGCTAGCTGCATTACGTGTCCTGTGAGAAGAAAAAGCTTGACAGGTACAAAAGGGGTGATGCTGAGGCTTCGATTCTGGCTGATGCTCTCTGTGAGTTCTATGATATAGTATGTGTGGGCAGAGGGAAAAAAAAAAACTGTTGTTGGGCTTTAGGAGAGGAGATCAGTGGAGAGAAGAGAATCCTGTCACTTTGGCCCCCTGCAGGGCTCGTCGGCAAGAGGAGGATAGGCCCCCCGAGGCCCCCAGTGGGAAAGAGTGGAATGAGATTTGGATGACAGTTGACTGTCTCATACTCGTTTAAACAGACGTCCAATAGTGCTCTCTTCTTTGTTCTGCGAAAAGTTTCAAAGTCAAAGAAATGCCAGTTGTTATCCGCTGTGGATGAGCACAACAACGTTTATGTAAAACTGCATCCACTAACAGTGATTCTGTGTGCGCGCACAAACCTTGCTGCGAGCGTCGACGTTGAGCAGACAAACCCCACAAGCCAGCTCCTTGGCATTCTTGATGCCGTGCCTCAGAATACAGGAGGAGAAATCTAGGGAGCTTTCATCAGGCTGCACACACACAAAACAGACACACAAACACATTTTACTTCCTGCCGCAGGGCAAAATGTAGTCATTTCTATTCTTATAATAACAGCAGTGAGAACAAGTCTGCGTACAGTAAACACCTCCGAGCATCATCAACTTTTTATAAAGTCTTTGCATGACTTCGACTGCGTGGAATAAAAATAAACAATTCCTGAAATAAAAAAGTACCTACAAGTTTCAATTAAACATTTGTTGCATTTTGTTTTTGCCTCCTTCCTCGACATACTGTTTTATCTTCTCTGGTTTGAAACATTTGTCATCGGCAGGCTCTGTGGATGAGGACTGGCCTCCTGCTCTCAGTTTCTGAGTTACAGACACTAGCAGACAGCTGAGTAAATAAATCCATAGAGTCTTTGTCATCCGTGTTGATCTGAACACTGGCCTACCAAAAGACTCCTGCTACATCGTGTCCAAATCAATGAATCATTGATTTTAACCTAATGGACTGACAATACCCGATTCACTTAGACTTCATCATTTTATTGGCAGAATCTGTTTTGTGAACTGACCTTCAATTCTTTATTATTATGAGTATTTGTGTAGCTGTTTTTGAACATGTCTGAGTAATAATAGAAGGCAGTAAAAGCAGCTGTGTACATAAATCTGGATATTTTTATGTCTGTCCTCTGCTGTGACATGTTCAAACGAATGTTTTGGAGCATCTTACCGCGAGCTTTGCCAGCGACATGAAGCCTATGAGGTTGTTCCACACACGGCTGATGTCCTTCAGCAGCTGCTGCAGCTTTTCAGAGCACACTGCCGTCGCTTTGATGCCCAGCTCCACGCGCCTGGTGACGCGGTACACTTCCACCACACCTGAACCGCAACGCAGAGAAGCACACACACGTCACGAAAACACACTTTGTTGCTCTTTTTGCTGCATTTTTAAGAGACTCGCTGTGTCTAGTCCCTCGCTGTGACATGTTTGTCACTCACAGCTCATTAAAAGCAGAGAAACACAACAAGGGAGCAGGACCTTGTCAGGCCAGGCAGAGATAAGCCATCACACCAGAGCTCATCTTAATCTTGTCCTTTCTGTCCTTCACAGGGTGTAAGGCCACACACAGGGTTCTGTAACAGGCTTTTGTTCTCTCTTCATAGCAGCCCTGAGGCTTCATTTATCAACGTTTCCATGCATACAATGTGATTTATCAATATTATCTTGTATGTGAGTGTGTGTACAAATTTAGAAACACTCCTGAACCTGCATATGTACATTCCCCTCATGGCGAAGGTAATTAGAATGAGATCTACAAAGCACACAATAAGTCCTCTCAGTATAATTGTTCCTCATAGCAACACAGGTGGCAACACACCAAAGTCCATCAATCAGAGATGATTTTGGCTAATTTAATTTAAATAAAACCACACAAAAGACACACCCACAGACTGATTGAAATTCAGACAATGTTTGAGTTTGTCTTACATGTGGACAGAGTATTGTAGCGAAAATTGTTGCGCTATCAGTAGATTTTATTTGTAGCAGCCAATTTTAAATGAGCTGCGCCATCAACAACATGCACAAAGGCCATCACAGTGCAAACACAAGCTTTGTTTGTTCTGGGTTTTCAGTACCCTCAGCTGGAGGTGAGTGAAATTATTTGTGTTTTTCAGTTGTGCGAGCGTGATTCATTGGCTATACAACTCCAAAACAATCAGCAGACAATAAAATAAAATAGTCACTTTGTGATGTTCTTGCCTCCTCTGTGCTTTGTGGAGATTAACAGTGGCATGTATCACCTTCAGGGATGATTTCTGTCAGGGACGTCTCACCAATTATTAAAGCAATTTTTTTCCCATCCACAGGCGATACTGATGAATGTGGATTGTCCTACTCCTGTGGCAGTTATTTTGTTTTTGTGCCCATCAGTTGTGTTTTGGTGTTTAATTTCTTAACTTCTTTTCGACCTCTGCAGCTGCTTATCACCAGCCACATGCAACTGACTGTCCAAAAAACGTGCAAAATAAATGATTCTATTTAATGCCACTTGGTTAATCAAGACCTCCACCTTTTTTCTCCTCTCTTTTTCTTTTGTCCTTGTTCATGCTGTAGCAACAAGTGTGCAATCAGAGCCATTTAAAGTGAAGTGGTTCTGCATATGTGGTAGATTTGGGGTGTGTGTTCATGTAAATGCAGCTGTTTTGGGATCTATCGGTTCAGACTGTTCACAGTTCTGCATGTACACACGCCATGAACACTGATTTTCTCGTGCGCTCTGCCGGTTTTGACGCACAAATTTGGGGCTCTTCTTATGCACGGCTTGATTAATGAGGCCGCGGGTGTGTTTATGGTGGTGTGTGTGTGCTTGAATGTTCCTCACCCAGCAGGTACTCCATGCCCTGAGCAGATTGGATGACCTCAGTGCAGACGGAGGAGCTGCTGATGCTGTTCAGGGTGTTGTTGGCTTTGGTGATGACCTTAATACGGAAAGACAGAAGCCAGTGTTAGGACATACATACTGCTTTTGCTTATCATAGTCATCATCATTAGTGTACAGAGGTCCAGCATTTTGACATATGTCACAATGAGAACCTGCACCAAGGAATACCTGTCTTCACTTGTGTTTTAAGTTTTAGCCTTTTTGTGTCCTGCAGAAGATTTTCCTCACTTTTTTTTGACACTGACACATCATTAAGTGCTTTTTTGAAGGAGAAATCTCTAGTACAGTCTCAAGTTTGTAATATTTTTAATTTACACCAAATATTTCAGCATAGGCCGTATATTCAAGCTGTGTATTGTGCAGGCTCTTCCTTTTTTGAGGACATTTGAAAAATGTATAAGCACAAATTCTAAAGTTATATATGCAGAGGGAAAGAAAATAATTTGTCCCAAGACGTACAAGATAAGGAAAGTCCTGTTTGGAAAACATTTCAGTGCCTTTTGGTTATCTTAATTATTCTCCATTTGCAGCGTCACTCTCACAATTACGTCGCGCCACGGGACGAGGTCAGATACAGGACACAAACAAATACAAACCTCCAGAGCACTTTCCAGACACCTCTGCCACTCATACGCGTAGCGCTCGCTCTCCTGCAACAACACAGCACAAAATTATCTCAAATGAACACAAAGGCAAAACAGAAAAAAGAACAGAGGGGCATTTTTTTGTGTTTTGCAGCCTTTAGCAGTCCTGGGTATTGTGCTGAATTCGAACATGTGGGGGCCCTCCTCACCTCCACCTCCCCAGTCAGGTCCTTGTACTTGTCCCTGATGACTGGCAGGGCGGGCTTCTCGCTCAGGGTGTTGGATCGGTCTCTGAAAGGCTGCTCTGGAGCCGGAGACGGAGGCGAACGGCCAATCTCCTTCTCACCCAAACTGTGGCTGCGTTTGTGGGAACCTGAAGCGAACGCAGTATAGAAGAGGGAGACGAATACCGTTAGAGAGATCCACAGACACATATATGTTTATTTTGTTATCAATTCAGCAACCAATGATTAGAACTCATTTCGAGATATGCACCTGTTTGTTTGCAATCATCATACTTCCGTTCTGTTGTGGCTAATTCCTCCCAGACAGGGACGGCATGAGTAAATACTTAATTTGTGGCAAACAATAATTACGTACAAAACAGAGGCACAAATACGTAGGTATGAATTATTCATAGGGACTCTGAGACGGACAAACACATGCTAGGCTCAGACTATTCCAGTGGGGCTGCCAGTTAGTGCATGTGTGTTCAGATGCAGGTAATCCACCCCCCAACTCCTCTACCACCCGCTGAGACATGCGTCATCCTCCCCACATCAACTCACACCACCCCAAAGCCCCACCATGATCAGATTACTGTTTCATGGGGCGAAGAGGAGTTAGCGAAGCCCTCTTCTTCATGCAAATTAAATCCAGCACGGGGAGGTGAATCTACGGAGCTTTTCTCACAGTGCAGGAAACTGTAATGAATTATTTGTGCAACATAACACCAGCGAACGGTGGTTAAAAAAATGAACAGCCGTTGAGTGGATACGGTTAATTTCTGCTCATGGATTTGTTGGCCTCTGCTAATCCATCTCACCAGTCACTGCCATTAGAGCAGGGCTGTCATCTCAACACTACCATCTAATGTCTGACAGCTTTATTACAGATCTGATGGACTCGCCGTGCGGGGGTGGGGTGGGAGAAGATGCTGAAGGAGAGTGGTGTTGTGACAGTTTATGGCCGAGGCCTTATAGCTGGCCAGGAGAGTTCTGATTAAAATATGTTATGTTTGGTCAAAATACATATACTAACATCGCATTTTAGTGCTGAAGCTGTTCTTCAATTAACTCATTACACAGAAAATTTGTTGACAACAATTTTGGCAGCAGATCATTTGTCAAGCTAATCTGCACACATCCAATTACTCCATCTTCTCAAGGGTGAATATTTTGTTTTTCTCGTCTTTTCACTGCATAATGTCAGTGTTCTTTGACTTCATTTGGATTTTGGCAGTTTGTTGGACAAATAAAGCAGCATGACAGGCATTTTTCAAAATATGCAGGGCTGAAACTCATGATTATTATATTAAAATTAGCCATTTTGTTGATTGATTGAGAATATCATAAAATTGTGGAAAATTCCTGTTTGTTGTCTTCAAATGTCCAAAACCCAAAAAACATTCCGTTAACAGACATAAAAGTTAAAAAAAAGCAGAAAAACCCCACATCTAAGAAACTGCAGTTGTTCCACATTTAGAAATAGCAATCAAATAACTTTGACCGATGCATTAATCGACTAATCTGACACTTGTACTCACATGTAGTTAGATCAATATGACGACTCACCTTGAACAGACAAGTCAAAGGTCGCCAGCTCGTTCTTGATCATCTCCTCGCTGGATTTGACTTTGGCCTGAGCGCTGGCTTTGAGGAAGTCAGATTTGCCAAACTTGGGCTTGTCCCCCTGGAAGGCGCCAAACTCATCCGAGGCCTCGCTTTGGTTTCCCTCCGAGCCCGCCTCAGCAGTGGCGGCGGGCGAGTCTGACTTTTCAGAAACAGTACTTGCAAAATCTCCAAAGTCGTCCTCGTCATCGACACCGCCGTGCTCACCGGGGCCAAAGTCAGCGAAGGCTTCAACCTTGTCATCTCCAGATGAGCTGTCCTCTGCGGGAAAGGAGGTGGTGATCTTTGCTACGGGGCCACTTGTGATGTTTTCAGTGCTGCCAAAGGTCAGTTCCTTCCTCTGTGTTGGGACTAACGACGGAAGGGAAGCTCCTTCCAAGCCCTGCGGCTTTCTGACCTCACCGGGCAAATTTTCCTCCCGGTCTGACCAGTCATAGCTGGCCAAGGTGCTGAGGGCCGACGTCCCAAAGGGGTCAAATTTCATGTCGTCTCCTTCTGTAATGACAACACAGACATACCAGTGGTTCCTGGGAATAGCACAGATGCTGTCATGATGCGAGGAAGATTAATGAGTCTAGACGGTGGACTAAGATCCCTGTCGGATTATCACTGTGTCGATGTCAGTGACATCTTTTTGCTTCTAAAAGGTAGTTAGGTCTTAAGAGGGCTTTTGAGAATCTCTAAAAGCCAATTCACTCACATTATCAAATATATTTTCTCACTTACCTCAAGTGATGCAGATAGCTTTTTGTTTTCATGGTGCTCACAAGATTAAAAAATGTGTGGACAAGGATTTCTCTCTAAATACAACAACTTAATCCACACACACCTCCCTGTGGACAGTTTTAACGGAAACTACTTTAAACCAAAAAAAAAAAACAGTCCTGCTCTGTGTATTTTGTTTATGTACTCTTGACTAATGCTTTGGGGAAGAGACATTTCTGCCATTTTTCAATCTTGTGAGCAACACAAATAAAATTTCATTCACTGCGTTTCAGACAAACAGAGGCCACAAATATCTCACATTCTGCCTGAATACTACTTAGAGGCAAGTGAGAATTTTTTTTTTTTTTGGAGGGGGGGCGGACTCTCCTCCCCATATATTTCTCTTGAAAGATGTGGAAACAAATTCTGCAATACACTGGCAACACATCGAATTTTAGCGCATTTAGAATTCTGACAGTAATACCTACCCGCTATATTGAAGTAAGACATCTTCCCTCCCACACTTCTGTTTAATAAATTATCTCTTGGTGTTTTTATGTCTGAGGTGAGTCATGTTTATGCTGCTGCCTTCATCATACTGAAACACTAACGCTGCTGTCTCTCTGTGGACAATTCCTCTTCTCTGGCTGTACGATAACACTTGCTGTTCTCGCTAGTGACAAACAGCTTTGCTAACAATAATCGGAGTTGATCTCTTTATACTAAATGCAACCTGAAGGATTTTGTCTCAAGGCGGACGCTCTAACAACATCAATAAAAGATCTCTCCTGTCACTGCATCTGCTCCGTCTCTTACTCTGTGGTTTGATGGCTTTCTTTATGACTAATACTAACTGACAGCTATACGGCTCGCGCTCATTTGTCAACACTTTAGCATTCAGGTCTCCCTCGCACGCTCGCAAACACATAAATCCACCTTGTTGAACCCTTCCTATTTTGCATGACAGAACCCTCAGATACAAAAAGCAATTTGTGAAATTGACAAGGATCTAGTGCTGTAAGCCTTCGTGTCATTAGGCCACGCTGCGCCGCTCGAGAAAGGTGAGGAGAAAATAAGACGGTACCCGTTTCAGCAATACCAACAGTAATATTTATTACGACAACATGAGTAGAGAGAAAGAGAGAAAGGTCACAAAGTACTGTGAAAGAGGTCTATCATTACAAGAGGTTTGTCAAACTAACACTTGTAAAAGTAGATTTCAGTCATTTAGAATACAAGGGCATGCAGAGTCAGGAGAAAAGGAAGAAAACAAACAGCGAGAAGGTAAAACAAAGATAATCCGAGGATATAGAAGCAGAAACCAGAATGAGAAGGCACATTCACAGACTAGAATCAGTAATTCTGGGGAGATGACAAACTTTGTTTTTTACTATTAGGATGTAAAGCAACAGGTGTGTGTGTTTTTTTTTTTTTTTGCTTTTTTTTTTGGAAAAGATTTGAATACAGAACATTTGGAAAGCCAAGTTGAAAAGATAATTCAAAGAACAAGGCAGGAAGCTTGAACCCTTTGAGGACCTGAGGGGGAAAAACTGTCAAGAGCATCCCAATAATCAATGTTTGTTTTTGGAAAAGGTGTCTTAAGGAGCAGAGAGCAGGCTGCCATCTTTATACATTTAGTGAATTGTAAAATAGGATTATTAATTAATAAATAAATAAATAAATAAATAAATAAGGGGAAGCGATCGTGAAGTCTGCGTTAATCTGCTCGTAAACGTGTAAAGTGATTTTGTTCAAGCACTCAAAGGGTTACAGAAAACAAAGAGGGCCATCCTTACACCTGACATCCCACAAAAGGGCCTTAATTACATCCAATCACAGATGCAGGAACAGATTTAAAGAGACAGTATCCTTTTTCTCTTGCTACAGTGATTGTTTGTCAAAGCAGGCTAATGTGCACAAACTCCTACGATCCCGTAAATAATAGCACGTCATTGTTTACTAAAGACATCAATGTTTCGATTCACGTTAACCTAAAATACTTTCATCGTACTAAATACTGTAGGCTACATTTAATTTACATAGTTGGCAAATCACGACAAGATCAAGGAGTCTTTCTAGTCTCAAAATAAGAGTTCATATTCCTGTAAGAAAAATACACTATTAAATCTGTATGTATACATTTTTCCTTCGATAAAAACAACTTGCAATACTGTTATGCATAAAATGGTTATTTTGTATTATGTTCTTGTCAATTTCACAAATTGAAAAGGCAGGCACACTGCAGCAAAAAGCAAGGCAGGAAGGGTAATACTAACTTCATTATGTTCTCAGAGAGCCAGACCGTAGAGCCACACGTGATAAATTCATGCTGCGATATCACAGATAACGGTGAAAAAGAAAAAAAGAAAAAAAAGAAAGAAAGAAAGAAAGAAACTCGGATTCCTTTTGTGACTCAAAAGGAACCTCACAAAAGAAATACTGTCTCTTTAAGATTACATACATTTCCAGAAACACAGTGCAAAGCAAGGTGAGGTGCTCGAACTGCTCGGCCTGCTACACTTGAACAACAGGTTAGTCCCAGAGCTCTCCAAGAACAAGAACAGCAGAGAAATAAGATTGAAATGGAAACCGCTGTTAGAGTAGCACAAAAGCTTCTCAGGAATGTATCGATGTCAGAGCGGGCACGTCTTCGCCCGATCAGCAACTGTTTGGCTGCAGCTCCGTGAACTGATCGTTTGCTCTCAGTACAGAAGGGCCTGTTTGGGTTTAACCAAAATCTGACCGCTGCACAGAAACTGAAATAAGGCAATGGGGATGTTTACATTAATGTTTTTGTCTGGTCAAGTAGAAACAGCGATCAGTTCCTTGGATGAATGAACTGATATGTGGAAATACTGACTGCATGGCTGTTGTCAGGTGAAGAACTTGCAGAACTTTCTTGATCTGCAGGAAATTTTCTGAGCTTACAAAAAAAACCCCAGAAAAATCCCAAAAGCCTTCACCTGACAGCGATTACAAGCCATGTCATGCAACACCAAAGAACGGTCTGGAATGTTTGCCATGAAACATGAGCCATGACGTGGAAGGTGAGATGCTCGATGAATAAATGATGAGCAGTGGAGAGAGGAGGAAGAGAAGGAGTGCTGACATGGACGCTACCTGACTATTAAGGAAACTGGGTAGTTCTCCTTTAAATAAATGACCCAACAAGTTTTAGGTAAACTTTGACTCCACTTTCATGGACGTGAGGTAGGGGACATAAAGCAGACACGCTATTATCGAGAAATCTCATCGTTAGAGGGCTATTCAATCCAAATAATACTGCATGGCCAGTCTGAAAATACTGCAGGGTAATACAATAACCGTCGGACATAAAGAGGCAAAAGCATGCACTCACATTCAAGCACTCGGGTCTGAAATTCGCATTGCATTCAGCTATAATGTGCCTAATTTGTGACACAATTCACTTTTGCTCCATTTCAAAATAGCTTGTTTCCAGTTCTTGCATGCAAAATTTCCTTATAATGATAGCATTTCATTTCCAGCTAATCAAAATGATATTATCTGTTACGCTTTCAGCACACAGCAGTTAAAAAGATGAACGATGGCTTACAGATAATGCCTTTGGTAAACTGCAGGCCTATTGTGCGAAAACCTGTGATTCGAAACAAGACCATCACTGTAGCTTCCTCCTGTACTCATCTGTATTCAAGCGCACTTTCTGTTTGCGCTGCTCGACATGTCAACAACACGCATACTGAAGGTACACTGAAGAGGGGGGAGCGGGGGGGAGTGCGACGTCTGCCGCTGCAGCGTGGACACAACAAACAGGAGGCTTATCCGAGTCACACAGACGGCAGCCGGGGACCTCGTCTCTGGACTATGACTGCCAACACATCAAAACCAGGCACTCATCATTTGTAAATAAATAGAGATATGGGCCGGGACCTTTCTGTCATTACAATAACAATATACGCAAGCCAGGAAGGGGAACGTGGGAATAAAAAACTAAGGGAGGAAAGAGACCGAGGATTTAAATAAATAAATAAATATATAAATAAATAAATAAATAAATACATAAGGTATGTAGTGATGGATGAAGAAATGTAGAATGACAGATGATGCGTCTAATCTGATATGTTGTTCGTGTATTGTTACGTTTGTCTTCGGGATTTGAGCATGTTCAATTCAGAGAGGACCTCATTATTTGCCCTTTGACCCCGTGTCTGGTGGTCGCATTTGGCCACTGAGGAGGAGAGGCTGGCTGGCTGGCCTTGGAATTTATACTGTGTGTGACTGTACGGAGCCTCACCAGAGCAAACGCACTAGTTCCTCACCTGTAGCAGGGGGCTGGTGGGCCGAGAGACCCGGCAAATCCAGAGAGCTGTCTGACATCACGTGCTTCAGGTCTCCTCCCATGTCCGACAGCTTCATGTCCAGCTGCACTGAGAGAGCGTCCTCGGAGTCGTCCTTTCCCACGCTGCTCCCGCCGATGGACGGGAGGTCGAGGGACTTGACTGAGGCAGAGTCTTCCTTGGCCTGTTTGAAAGCGGCCACCTTGTCCACCAGAGTCTTTTCCGAGGCCCCGAGCGCTGTGCAGAACTTAGAGGACTGGAAGTCGGCAAAGTCGTCCGTGTCGCTCTTGAGAGAAGAAAAGGAGCCTCCGCCGCTCTCCTTGGTGTCGTCGTAGGCGAGGCCTCCCTCCAGAGAGAGCTGTTTGAACACGTCATACTTGTCTGAGCTCTGCTGAGGCCGCTGCTGTGTGGAGGGCTCCCCTTGGACCCCCGCGCTGCTTTCGCCTTTGGGCTCTCCACCGGAACTGCCAAACGCCATGAAGTCTGCAAAGTCATCCTGAGGCGCTGCTGCAGCTCCTCCTGCTGTTGAAGCTTGAGTGGCGTCAGAGGAGGAGCCAAAAAGGGCAAAGTCACCAAAATCATCTGCTCCTCCCCCAGGAGGCTTGGCCCCACCTGGCAGGAGCACTAAAGAGGGGGGCACAGACACGGAGGGGAATGTACTGGGTTTTGTCTCAGTGGGGGCAGGAACAGAGGGAGCTATAGAAGAGAAAAGGTCCAGGTCGGCCATGTTGAGAGGGTTTTTGGGCTGAGAAAGAGACACTACTGGCTGTTGCTGCTGCTGCTGCTGCTGTGGAAGTTGCTGTAGAGACTGAGAGTTTGGGAAAGCAGAGGGGAAGGCAGGCTGAAAGATCTTGGCTTGATCTGAAGGGTCTAGTGGAGAGACGCTGTCGGCGGTTTTAAAGTCTGTGAAGCCATCATCAGCGCTGACAGACTTGAAATCTGCAAATCCTTCCCCTGCGAACCAACAGGAAGAATTTAAGATCAGTAAAAGACACAGCAGTGAGACATCGTGGCATGAGACGAAACATTCTCAGCAGCAACAGTCATGATTCTGTTACTTCACGATCCTACAAAAGAGGAAGCTGGAGGATTAGTTATGCCTCTGCTCCGCTGTGAACGCTCATGGTAAACTTCCAGTGTTCTGATGAGCTGTGGGCTGCAGAGTGTCCGAAGAACAGCACACATCACTGCACAAAAAACACTCTGTCATCTCAAGAAACACACAACCACACGACCATGCAAGCACCGTTGATAAAGTCATTCTGCAAAAAATGTCCATCTTAACAAACTACTTTGTCTCTTCATGTCCTCTCAGTGAAAATGTTTCCCAGTAAAGTCACAGCGGCCAACTGGTTTCCAGTCTTATTTCTTTTGGTTTGAGTTTTTGTAGGGGCACAAAGTAAAACATAGCTATACATTCTAAATATTTGATGTGTGCAAATATAACAGATCTTCTTTTGAGATGGTCTGAATCCAACACAAAACACTAATTACTGATATGTCAAAGTGGTTTGAAAAAGATTGGAGAAGATCTGACTCATCATTAGGACACGTCTTGAGAATAATACACACATTATTAAAAGGTTGGAAAAGCAGCTAAACATATACATTATGTTATATTTACTAATAAAACGTTTTTAGTAGCCATCCAGTAACTGAAATTACTAGTTAAGAAGGACATTTATTGCAATGTGAGGACGTACAATGTCCTCTAAAAACTTTTGCATCTTCTTGTTGCAAAATTATGCAACATGACGCTGATATAAGCCAGACAGAAAAAAGTCATAATGCATCCCAGAGTTTCAGCAGTTGTTAATCCACTGTGGTATAATATATGCATGGACTGAAATAGAGAATCTGTTCACACCGCTGGTGTACGGTGGAAGAGAGATAACTAATGGGCTCATTAAGGAGATGGAGCCTGACAATGCCAAAGAAAGGTCACTGCAAAGCATGACTTACTGGAGTTGTAAGAGCTGTCCCCATCGGAAACTGTTCTAATGAAACAGGGATGGGAAACACACTGGTATCAACACTGCAGACTTGCAAAACAAGACACAGTGTAAACATGGAACAATGGCATTGTAGTGACCTGACAGCTTTCACCCAAGTTATAATGCCATGTTTAATTAGAGAGAATCACTAATTCCAGCGAAAACAACGCTGCTTTGTTTTCTGAGGTGGAGGTGATCTTAAGAGGGACCATCTCTGAGTTTTAATGTCCTCTCTGTTATTCCGAGAGTCGGCCATCACAGGGGTTTTGACTCAGGAACAACCAAAAAAGTAATTATTAAACAGCCAAGCTCTGCTGATATGTACACAAGTGCAAATGTGTTCCAACACCAGATCTAAATGTGTAAGAGAGGGTGGAAGAGTTTCTTACCGACTGGTTTCTTGTCAGCAGGTTGTTCAAGTTGTCTGAACACACTGTATTTGTCTCCAATATCTGTATCAGAACAAATAAAGAAGATTAGGTGAAGTATGAACAGAAAATATGACACATTTAACAGACAGACAAGTGTTGGCTTAATTACAATCTGCTATGGAAAAAAAAATAAAATGTAGAAAGAAATTAAACTTTCTTTTCTTTTTTTTTTTATGATTAATGACGTTACAGCTGTGTCATACTGCACAGAAGACATGTTTTAGGTCTCTCTACTTCTAGCCATGGCTGTGCTGTTTCCATGGAAGTGCAGGACTTTATACTGCAATGAAAATGAGCCCATTGTGAGTAAGAATGTGGCAGAAGCAAAACATGACTGGAAACATTTTAGGTGTTCCAAAGGGTTAAGCTGCTTGTAATTTGTTTCATCTGCATCAACTTAAAATCAATTTTAGATGTGATAAAAGGGCTGTTTTATGACAGTATTTAAAACTGATTGCTCTATTCGTCAGCTGTGTCATGGTGAAATGGGTGGAAACATGTACAAGTGACGAGACATATGAGCGGATTAATTGCTTTCAATCAATCTTTGCCAGCGCTCTATCTAGGAAGAGGCAGAAGACGTCATTCCATTAGCTGCTTTAACCATATGATGCCAGTCTTTTCTAATGGGCTTTAAGTTTTCGTTTCAGGATGTACCCGGCTGGAGCATTTCATGGAGGGCAGACAATGTTCCCGACACTACACCCTACATGTTATATAGAAGGTACCTGAGGCAGGGGGTGCAGGCTCTGCAGGCTGATCCACAGACAGCTGTTTGAACACAGCGTACTTATCAGAGGACGTGGCGGAGGCGGAGGAGGAACCAGACACTGGAGTCAGCATGGCAGGCGTGCTGCGAGAACACAAAAGCTACAGTCAGACATCATGAAGAGGGAAGTTCAATAGTAGAGTTTAATCCCCATAAGCTGCCTGAGCTCGCTGAACATTTGCCCTGGGCTCAGAAAGTTTGGAGAGGTTTTTTTTTCTTCTGGCTTTTAAAAGCTTTTAGTGTCCTTTTACCCCCATTAAGGACACAGCTAGTCTGGATCTATCCGATAGTGAAAAGAATCCACCCACTCACACAACTAAAGCTCCCCAATTTAATATGATGTTTGTTTAACTTGTATAAAACCTATGTGTTGGCTGGGAGTTGATGTAAGACAACCACTGAAAACTGCATAAAGGTAACGGTCAGAGCTATTAAACACTGGTTATACGCTCACATTTTTGTATTGAATAAACAAACCGTAATTAATGTGTTAATTACTTCACAAAGTTCTTAATGAAACTCTACTTTCATATTTTGGAAATGTAAAGTCTTGTCCAGCTGCTGCCAAAAAATACATAAATAAAAAATGCTAATATAATCCAGTCCAATGAAAACCAGCTCTGTTGCAGGATTTGTAATTGTGCTTCTCATGAACTTTTTCACTTATCCTATATGCAACCTGGGTCTTGCCTCAAGATAAGATACATTTAAGACATTTTGGTAAGCCCACCTTCTTACTTTGTGGTGCAAAGGTAGATGAAAAGATCAACTCTAATTTCATAGTTGTCCGTTAAATATGATGATCACGTAAATAGTTTGTAGTTTAGCTTAGCATAAAAGTTGGTAACAAGAGTCTAAACAAATATAACCTCCAGCACCTCTAACACACTAATTAACATGTGTCTTATTTGTTAAATCTGTACAAAATACAATTTTAAAAAATACAATTTTACAAGAGTTTTGTTGCTAAGCACCTACCGGTACTTAAGACTCTGGATAGTTAATAGTCCCAGTCATGAAAAAGTTTGACCCCTAAACCCCTGTAAAACTCAAACTATTATTAATACCCTTCAGTTTTTGGTTAATCAGTGAGCCTTAGAGAAGCTGTAGGCAGAATCTGTTTCCAGTGTTTGTTCAAAGCTAGGCTCACTGGCTTCTTTTTCACCCTCCAGATATGAATCTTTTTATCAATGCTCTTCTTAAAGTGAACACCATTTTATTATAGACCTAAAGTAAATTAAATATGATAAACATAACACACCTTCATCCGATAGCACACGAGTAGCACCCACCGAGGAAAACTGTTAAAACTCAGAGCGAATATTAGTTTCCTCAAAGCCCCTTTTTCCTCAAGACATCTGACAGTAAGTTATGGCTGCCAGTTTGAGCTGGTATCCCAGTATGAGCTGTTCAGCCTCTCATTTAATTAGACAGCAATCTCAGACTGTGGGGAATCCTTGTTACATTGCCGAAACAGTCAGGAGTGTATGTTTTCAGGAGAGAAACGGCAGAGATTTATAAAACGCCTATGCCACTTAGATGTGAGATACTTTCGTTCTGCTTTCTTTTTGTCTTTCAGCAGATAATTGCCTTTCAGCCTCCTCTCACTGAAAGCACAGTCTCTCCACAAGGGCTTGGAAAGTAATATAAAGAAATGAGCTTATCTACTGTCCACTGAAATGAATTCATTAAGAGATGACCCAAACTCATTGCTATTCTGAGGAGGTTATTACAAGATATTAAGACAGTGTGTATCACTGTAAGACAGACAAGGATTATGCAGAATAACTTTGCTATAAATAACCGTCCGTGGCTGAATATTAGACGCTCATCACTGCAAACATTTACATCAAGTCTTTAGAAAACTCGATGTAGTTAGAGAGCAAACGGAGACAGAAATAATGAGAACACCGAGCATACTTTCTTGTAAGGTTAACTCAGCATCAGGGTCGTATCTGCTTTTTGGCACACTGCTAATTATCTACCTGTTTTGGTGCTGAGGTGCAATGGTGGTGGTGAAACTTCCTCCCGACTCCCCCTGGAACTCATTGAAGGCCTGGTCTCCTGCTCCTGGCTTTGGAGCCTCCTGGAAGTCCTGGAAGTCGTCGTCATCAGCTTTGGTCCCCTACATGAACATCATGTTAGTGAGCAAAAAGTGTGATATGATCAGCTATAGGAAAACACAGAAGTAAAGGCTTGCATGGGTTACCTGTGCAGGAGGGAAACTGGCAATGAAATTAGTGTTGGTGGGGGGTGGAGCCGGCGCTGTGGGTGCAATGGCCATGACTGGTGGTGCTGGTGTGGGCATGGCCATGGAGACTGGGGGCTGGGTCATCATGGGCTGCTGGTGCTGGGGCATGACGGGGGCCATGGCCATAGCCAGGGCCGGCAGGTTGGGCACTGGCGGAGACGGAAACTGACCGAGGATTTCCACATTCATTGCTGGGAGGCCACTCTGAAAAGAAGAGAATTGTTTGAAGCCTCTGAACTCAAAAACCAAAAAACACCAAATCTAAGCATTTTTTTCAAACTAAGTTTATTCTTTAGAATAGGATAGAACAGAATAGAAATATTTTATTGATCCCCAAGGGGAAATCCTCTAAAGCAATGTAGTCTACATGTGTCAGTGAAAAATTTGCTAAAAATAATCTTTGCAAAAGCTAGATTCACAAACAAAAAAAAGTAGAGATTCTGTGCTTTTTGGCACAACTGAGAAGCCATGACTGACTCAGCTGTCATGTGGCAAAAATTCAGGGTCTATTCAGCTAAACTGCAGGCTGAGTTCACACAGAGCAGACAGGAGATAAGTATGGAAACAAATTAAAAATCTAAGTTATAAAATACCTACAGTATGTAGAGCCACAATTTTTGTACTCGTTGCCCTTGGACAAATGTTTAACATGTTGATCACAGGTTTTTGTACAAATTAAAAACTTTCTTTCTTTCTTTTCATTTGTTTTTTATGATTTATACCACTATAATATCAGCACACTTTTACTCATGGTTGTAATGCAGGACTTTATATTGCAGTGATAAAAAAGCCCAGTGAGCAAAAATGTAACAGGATCAAATCCGGACCAGAAACTGCCCAAGATTCAGAGGGTTAAAGGATCCATCTAATGGCACTTAATGTTTTATATTAAAACTCAGTGAAAAACAAACAAAATTAAAAAATATATTGTAACCTAAAAGGTCTTACTACAACATGTTAAACACATTAAGAAACCACGCTACAAGTCCCATGTCCTTCTGCTGGAAATAATCCTCAACAAATGTAATCAAATCTGTCTCCAACAGCTGCTTTATGAGTAACATTTGTCAACAACAACACTGCACAGCTGTTTCTTAGCTTTTTAAAAATGAAGCCATAAATCTGTATTTGAAAGATTTAAGATCTCAGCAGGAGAAAAAAAATGAGCTCTGGGCGAAGAGTCACAGACAAGGTGAAGAAGTTAACAAGTACTGAGGGGGAGAAAAACACGTCGTCAGTTTGGGTCTTTTCATGGGGTTTTCTTGACAATGAGAAAATACAGAATAACAACAGCCTGTCCTTTAAGAAGTACCTTTAATGCTTCGTAATTTTATTCTGTCACAATGTAGCAACTAGAATGAAGCTCTTTTAGTTTGTTTGGGTCGATCAGTTAAATCATGAGAGGCGTCAGGGCACAGTGGCCGCTCTGAACCTATTTAATTTGATGCCATTATGTATTCACTGAACTGGAAAAAGAGACTGATGTTTACGTATGAATTATTCAACACAGTCAAGTTCTTTTTGAACAGATGTCACTGGCAGACTCAAACTTTTTTCCCCCTCACAAGAGAATGCACCTTGTTTTGCTTGTGTTTTAAGGCTCTTGAAGATTTACATCTCCAAAGGTGTCTTATTATTCCTCGCATGGAAGCAGTGGCATGCAGTGTTTCGTGAGCTGCCTGCAGATTTGCATCCTCCCAGGGGTGGTGGTGACAGGCCCAGGCTGAGGATGATAAGAAGCCTCCTGCCAAACTCGGCTGATGGGGACTCAGCCATATATTGGGCTTACAACGCTTCACAAGCCGTGGGCTGATTCACAGCGCTGCTTCTTTCTCCCCGTTTCTAGCTAAGCTTGTCTAATTTCAGTGTGGAGTTTATGGCGGGGCTCCGAGGAAGCCATCGGGGATGATTAGTGAAGTCGTTCTAAGTAGATAATTTGTTTTGACTCCAGTGTTTACCTGCGCCACACCAATTAGTGCAAGTACAGTGTAAAGCTCCTCCTTGGTCAGCATGCCAGGTGTTGTGCGATTGGCCGACGCCCAGATTTGCCCCAGCGCTTCCCTGGGAAGACCTGATGACATTAATATTGGGTAGAGCTTGGCTGTGTCTATCCCTGCCGGTGTCATGGTGAATTCAAGAACTTTCTTAAACATTTCTGCGGAAAAGAAAAACAGAAAACATTTGTGTATGCTGTTAAACTAGAAATCAAAACTGTGTAGTGTCATTTTCATTAAACAAAATCTGCAGGAATGTCAAATATGATAATCAGAAATGTTACTCTAGGTGTATTCATGAGTAAATGTTTACCTGGGACGAGGCTGTCATTGTAAACCCAGGCTGGCAGCATGGACTGGATGTGCTCTTGTTGTGGGTACACGCCAACACCTGCTGTCACAAGCACACACACACACACACGCACACACACACACATACACACAGAGTTAGCTGCTACAGCAAAAGTCTTGTCCAGGCATATGATTTGCCAAGTCTCTTGGCAGCTGAGCCCTGCTTGTATCGAACTCCACAAAATCATACACCTGATGTCTGGAAGGCTCGGTGCAGATGTAACGCTCCCCTGCACTGAATCACAAGCACGCTGCCACATCAGACATCTATAAATCAGTCTGTGAGTCATTTCCAGCTTCAAGGAGAGGGGAGAGAGGAGACAGCCTTGTAAGAAAAAATATCTAAAAATCTAATTTAACTGCTGACATTGACCTAATTATTTATTTCTGAAAATAGAGTAAAAAACATTCCAGTAAAATGGTATGGCTTATTTTGAGCTGCTAACACTCCGAGGCATGTGTTTACTCAGGCAGCCACTTTACACATAATACTCCCATCAGTCTTGGGCAGTTAAATGAATCTTATTACAAATCTCCCTGGTCTCCATGACGAGCCACTATATTTCCCTCGATGACATCGAGGACACGGACACAGACAAACAAATAACGGCACAAAGGAGGAGCAGAGTAGCATGCACAAACAGCCTTGGATTATGTTGGGCCCCAGTGGCACCTGCCAATCCATGCGCATCCCTGTTAAACCAAAGCAGTCAGCATGCGCCAGAGGTCGTTCTCTGAGAGGGTGTTACACAGTGAGGGAACAGACGGCAGCTTATTTAGCCAGCAGGTATTACCCAAGGACCTTGACAGACACAGTCCATTTCCACAATGTGTGCAGAGAGCACCAACATGAGAAGGCCCCTCTAACAAGACAGAAGTATAAAGCAGGCAGAAATAAGAGCAGAGACTTAAGAAAAGATGTAAAGACACCAAGAAGGGTACCTCAAAGGCACCGCAACTCCATGATTATCTCAGTGGTAAAGAAAATGTCAGCTTGAATAGTGGATTCCCAGTTCAGAATCTGGTAAAAACCAATTATGACCCAAAGAGATAGAGTAGACAAAGCTGCTGCAGGATGTACAGGATTATTTTGTCAGCATTATACAGAATGAAAATATTTCTCGAGGACAGAAAGAAAACTATGGCCTTGATCGTGTGTTAATGCTGCAGCGAAGCAAGGGAGAGAAGAAGAAGAAGCGATGAAGTCCAATGAACAGGCACTTCTCTCACCACTGTCACTACTGGTCTGAGGAGACGAGCCAGTAGCTGGTGGGGGGTGGGTGGGTGCTGACACCGGGGCCTCAGGTAGCTTTTCTGCGGTGAAGGCAGAACTCAAGTCCTCAGGGGCAGCAGCCCAGTTCCTCGCTTTTGTGCTGGATTGATACTGGGCTGAAACTTTTGTTCTAGGAGTCATTTCAGCCATACTCTGCCTGGATCTAAAGCTAACTTGGGCCATCTTATCAGCAGTAAGATCGCATGAGGAGAACAGCTTCTCTTCCAGGGTCGGGCCTAGAGGGGTGAATGAGGAACAAGCTTCTTTAACACACACTAGCTACAGTCGAGACTTAACGTATTTGGACATTACGTGCAATAAAGCGGCATGTGTCAGATTAAATTTGAGTACGTTTATGAGGGTGAGACATGATGTGTGACATGATTAGAGCAGACGGTAGCAGTTATTAAAGGCTTCCAGGGAAGTTTTAGACCTCGAGTGACCCTATGGAGCTGTATTTCTGTGAAAAAGTTCATGGTTTATATCAGGGACAAGGATGCACATGCACACTGAGAATTGTACTGTGCCACCTCAGTACACGGTGCAGGAACATGCTAAGGTATCTTGCAATGCTCTAAATAAGGTAGGGGACAAAAAGACGTAGATACCAACAAAACTGGATTTAAAAATACAACAAAAAAAAAAGAAGTTTTTTCCATCTTGGAGTAAGATGCCATCGACGTGTTTGTTTGAGCGTTACTGCTATACAAAATAAATATTGGTGAGTAAAACTGAATGTACTTGGAACTTTTGTTTCTTTATAGGAAAACTCCACAGGGGTCGTTTAAGTAGCTTTATGGAGATTAAAAGTTTAACCAAAAAGCTCCCACACACACTAACCGATTCAGCCACAGATCTTTTTGCTGAACTGACAACACCAGGCAATTTACGTAATATTTCCTCACCTAGAGCCTTCCTCTTGTGGTGCTGATATATGCCCTTCTTTAATCGAACTTTCTTAGTTCTAACTTAAGGAGCTTGGGGTTATTTTATGAAAATCACATTTGTAGTCTCAGTAAATATTTTACTAAACTTACAAAATTTGCAACAGCCTTAGAAAATTTCTCCATTACTGTGTTTGTATTCAGTCTGCTGTTTATATTTGCGTTTAAAGTTACACGGTATGTACTGTCTGCACTATGTGTGATGTCCTCTGATTGTCCTGCACATAGACCAACTTAAGCATGGCAAATTTCTTATGCAACCTGTTTGTTTTTTTATTCTACAGTATCAGAAATAAAAAACAAAAAACTGTCACTATAATTGCTCAGGTCTCTCATCTATCAGAGGCAATTCATCCATCAGCCATCTAATCTGCTTATTCCAGATGCTAAACAACTAGGTCACAAATGTCTCAGAGGATTGGGGATGACAGTGGACGGAGGGCTAGCTGTTGCATTTCTCTGGACAGAAGGTGATCTCTCTGTCTTGTCACTCAGTCTAGAGACCGAGAGCTGTCACAGAGCAGCTGCTCATCCCAGAGATAACACGGCAAATGACACATGACAGTGACAGTTCTCTATCAGTGCACAAGCCATAAATGGGTTCATTACCACGGTGGAATTCAGCTACTGCATGAGCAAAACCTACTGTGAAGTATTCTCTATTTTAAGCAAGTTGGGTTATTTGCTGTGCATCCATTTTTGTCTAGTTTGTAGTGTGTGGTAGCTTTACAGCTTTATATAATGAGGCCATATGCTGTGCTGGCTACATGCTCTCACACTGTAACGCAGGCCAACCCAGCATCCGGAGGTAACAGTAAAAACACTCAGGATCAGCAAAAAAAAAAAAAAAAGGCAGCACTATAAGTGAAAAAAATAGCTCCTCCAGACTAAATAGAAATAGTTGAGTATAAATAATGAGGATGGGAGGGGAGGTGTCAACAAAGCAAGAGAAGAGTTACCTTGAAATGTAGATTGGGAGCTGGTGTTGACAGCAGAGTGTTGGGTGGCAGTGGGAATGGACACAGAGGCAGGGAGGGACTCGGGGAGGGAATGTGAGGGAGGGGGTGACGGTTGGACTTGTGCTTGAGAGGACAGGTGGAAGCTGGAGGAAGGGAAAGCATTTAGAGGCCCTTGAACAAAGTCACTAAACTCATCATCGTCCTCAGAGAAACCTGTCTTGGGGGCAGAAGACGAAGGCTGGGCGTGGGCCTGAGAGGAGAGGCCGAAGGTGGAAGAAGTGGTAGTGGTGGAGGAGGAGGAGGAGGAGGAGGGTGGAGGGAAGGAGGCGGGGCCGTCTACAGGCCCCTGAAAGTCACTAAACTCATCATTATCCTCGGACAAAGCTTGGGGGAGGGAGTGAGTGGTGACAGACGGGTGTGATGGCGATGAGTCTGCAAAAATGAAGAAATAATGATGATGGCACAACACATGACACACACTACAATGGAGAATGAATTAGGGGCTGCACATTGCAAGAGTGAGATAACGACTATTTTGTGCGAGACCAGAAATTATAGAGCTGCAAATTTAGGTAAAACCCTGACAAACAGTGTTTAATATTCAGATTGACTAAAATGCTGTTTAACTGTAATACTGTTTATCAATTTTCAAAACTGCAACGTTTGTACAAACGTCTGTGCCATAATAATGACTCGCAGGCAGAGGTTCCCAAGCTGGATAAAATAATAAATCTGAGGTGTCTTGAGATGAGACAGGAAAGACACAGAAGTTATAAAATTATCCAAACTAAACAATTTAAAAGGTCTGAAGGTCAAAATCAGTCTTTGCTGTAATTTTTCAAAACCATCTAAAGCGGTATTACTGCTTCAAAATAAAGACCAATAAACCTAAAAGGTTGGGAACCACTGCCTGCTGTGTCACAGGTCAGTGTGTGTTTGTTAAATGCATGCCTACAACTTTCTGAAACACACAGGAGTAAATCAAGTAAAAGAAAGACAGCATAAAGTTAAAGTGACAGCTGAGGGTCACAAAGAGATAATGTATTGAACACTCATAAAACAAAAGACACGACTAAAAAGTGATAATGATTGACAGATGGAGGTAAACAGGAAAAACAATGTGATAAAAGAACTGTGATACAATCTGTGTTTCATATTATACTCTTGGACAGAAAATTCCAATTTTGGCTCGTCTGGCTGCCAGCTGAACAGTCATCACGCTGACCTGCCTCTAATCCAGTTAGTATTCTCAGACGGATGCGTATCTGCTGTGGAGAAGCACAACAGGGAAAATGGCAGGGATCACAGCTAAAAGCTTCAACGTAAAACTACCTGGCTTCTTGGACTGTGATGATGGAGTCGGGTGCATCTTTGCATCTCTGCTGAAGCCGTCCAGGTTGCCTTTGATTGCCTCCAAGGCGTCGTCGCGGCTCTTCTCCCCCGTCTGAGTGCAGAGCAATAGAATAGAGCATCACGAGCCCAGAGGGTAACAAGGATGAGCGGTGGGCATGCTGGAAAAACAGTAAAATAAACAGGATGAGGAGAGAGAGACTCACCTTGGGTTTGACACTGCTGAGCAGCCTCAGTTTCTGTTTCTGCTCCTCAAATTGTCTTCTTTTTCTGTCCTCCTCCAGCATCTTCTGCTGCTGCTCCAGGCGTTTTCTAAAGGGCAAGAGGAGTACAGATTATTACATGGAGAGCCAATATAATACATAATATTCTTTCTCTATTCTCTCTAGGTTGGGAGCAAGAGAGAATAGACTGCAAGAATTACTTTTTAACATGACGAACAGGGAAGGGTGCAGACTATTTAATGCACACATGAATTTCATATATGATCTCCTTTCATCAGACTCTAAAAAGGACATTCTGCAGGTTATCTCATGTAATTTGGTTACATTTCATAACTTAACCCTTACATACTGTTCATATTTTATGCCTTCACAATATGGTTCAGATCAATTTGGACCTGAACCATACTGTGAAGAATTCTCATCAAGAATTCCCTCATAGTAATTGTCTATACCAAATTTTAAACTACACATCTATTTAGAATGTCTAAATAACCTATGTCACATAAATAAATGTATATAAAAAACACACATAAAACATGGCCTGTACAGTTTCACAGTTTCAAGATTCCCTAAAACCAACATTTTCCTTGATTTGACCCACACTGGTAGATCGAAAATCCATCTCAGTGGATACGGTTGAATTTTGACCCAAAACAGCCTCAGTGTACAAAAATTTGGAGCATTTGTACAAAAGTCTAAAATTTTAGAATATTTTCATCCTGGGTATTTTGGGGCACTTTAGGAAAAGTCATCACATTTCAGGCTAAAAGAATGATTGTTAGTGTACTTTTACTGCTGTCAAATGTCAAAACAGATCAACTTTGACCTGTAACCGTGTGGAAGGGTTAAACCATTTCATGTCACTCATATACATCATGACTAGAATCCGATATGCAGGTTTTTTTCAACTATTTCTTGGCCATTTGTTATATATATATGCACTGAACAGGAAGAATTAGAAGGCTAACAAAAAAGTCTTAAAAGAGAGAAGGAGAAACTGTGAAATCCAAGGATGAGAAGAGTGCGATAAAGTTCTCAAGTCAACAGCAAGAGGAGAGCAACAGTCCTGGAGCTCAAAGTGATTCAATGTTTTTAACAAGACTTGAAGCAGTATTAGCTGCACTGAGGCACAGCAATGCTTGGAGCTAAATGTTGAGGTCATGTTTACCACCTTAAATAAGCATGTTAGCATGTTCCTATTTACCAATTAACACTAAATACTGCGGACCTGGGGATTAAAAAAACAACATGGCGTTAATTGTTTTTGTTTCTCAAAAAACTTCACATGGGAAACACGAAAGCTCTACATCAAATCCATCTTTAGTGTGACCACACTTTCAAAACAGCACCAGTGGTTCTAGCTACATCTGTGTGCAGTCAAGATACTTGTTCAAGCATCCTGGAGAATCTGTTACCGTTCTCATGTGGATTTACACCATCTCAGTGTTTTCAGGTACGAGAATCAGGCAAACTTTTCGGTAGAGACTAAATTATCTATTTATTCTTGTCGCTTAAATTTTGGGTTTGGGCTTGTTATGCTGCAGAATGAATCTGGGTATGATCAGATGCCTCCCTGATTGGACCAATGTCAACCCATCCAATAACTGCTGAGATATTTCAGTTTGGACCAAAGCAGCGGGTCAGTCAGCCAATACTGCCGTCTCTAGACACACGATGTCAGTGTGGATAAAACACAGTCTTTTTGGTTCTATAATTGTGATGTTTTTAGTCCAGACATATGCAGATATGAGCATTCCTGCTTTCACAAACAACCCACACAAGCAAACACAAATACAAACTACGGCATTAGTGTAAAGATGTCTTACTGGTGCTCCTCAGCCATTTGTTTCTGCATGTCAGCAGTGTACTGGGGTCCAGCAGGTCTCATACCCATGAACTGTGGCTGACCCAAGAACTGCATCCCAGGGGTCTGCATGCCAATCGCCATGCCGCCCTAAAAACCCGCCCAAAAAAAAACATAGAAAGACAAGAAGCTCAGAAATCTCATTAACATTCCGTCTGTCACACTCCTGTTGCTTGATATTAAATGCCATCACCGAAGGAAAGCAGAATGACATTAATGGATTGAAGTTAAAAATCACCAAGCTGCAATAAATTCCCGGTAATGTGCTAATGTTTAAAACTGTTTGTGAAGAGATTAACGTGGAAGCAAAAAGGGTAAAGAGGAACTCTAAACCCAGGTTTCCACATGACTGAAATCGGTTAAATCAATAGAGCAGTGTTTCAGTATTATGTATTCATCAGCGGAAGACACATTAGCAAGTTTGTTAAAAACACTACAAATGCAGATGACAAAACCCCCTGAGGGAACTATTAATTTCACTTCACAAGACACATGCAAATGTGGAATCAAGCACAGCATCGAAGTCAATACAGATAAACAAGTTCACCTGCATAGGAATGGCACCAGGGGGCATCTGTCCTCCAAAGTTCATTCCCATCATGCCCTGCATGTTGGGCTGCATGACTGGAACCATAGGGAAGCCCTGCTGTTGCTGCTGCTGCTGTTGCTGCATGGGTACCATGCCTGCAGAAACACACACCAACACCGGTATGATATGCAGTAGACAAGCCAAAGAATAGTGTATACAATTATTGTTTGAAGCATAACAGTAAGTCACTGAGGAAAAGTTAATACAAGTCTAGAATTTCAGGGGGAAAAAGCCTCCAGAGTCTGGACATGATTCAGTATTGCAAATCAATTTCCTGGACAGCTGCAAAAAGACACAGGCTCAGCAACAACCAAATCTGTTTTTCTGGTGACTACTATGACAGCTTGGAGCAAAGAGGAGTGAGGGAAAAATTGGAAAAGTGTGTGTTTATTTTCACAGATGCTGTGTAAGCTGACAACCAGAGCTGAGCAGTCAGCTCCTACTGGAGCCTCCAGATGATTCACCATGTTAGGGCTCAACTGGGCTGAATAAATGGCTTGTTTAGGAGGCTGCTCACATTCTAATTTGTCTGACTAAAATGACACTGCTAACGGGAGCATGTAATGACCCCTAAGAGACGCCTGTCCCAGTGGTGCATGGATGGTTTATCAGGAATGTTACTGCAAAGTCAACTGCTTTAATGTGACGAGCATGCACAGCTAAATGATGGTACATCCGAGGCCTGCAGTGCACGGTGCTGAGCACGAGTAACAAAGGTATGAGCTGTTTCAGTGTGTTGAAGCCTCACTGCTATCTCATATGCCCAATGGCTTGTGGTGATCTAAAACGGCAAGGAACAACTATTAGGAGGAAAGACTAACTAGAAGCAAAGCGGGAACACAGACATCTACATATCCTCTCTAGTTGAAGTGCACGTTGTGATATGAATCAAAACTTGTTAATAGGAAACCCTTTTTTTCAAAATGTAGTTTCATTTAAAGCAAAAGGTTTTTCAGACGTTCAGACATTTCTCAAAGAAAATGTTTTTTTATTCTCAATATACTGACAGAATGCTTCAAAAAGCAATATTCTATGTCACAGATCACATTCACAGTTAGAAAAAAATGCATTTCTTTGTCATCTTTTGAAATGAAACCCAATTAAATATATTTAAAAGAAGCTGTTTTGAAGAATAAACTGGTAAGATTGAGTGCAGTGTGACTCACCTTGTGGCGGTCCCAAACCCCCTCCGACAGGATACATAAAACTAAAAGAGAAAAGAAGAAAACCGCAGATAATGAGATTCAAACTAAGGCTGGAGCAAAGAAACTCATGGTGTGAAATACAGTCGAGAAATACCATCATGTCTGGCTGCAGCACACATCAATGGAGCCATCACTGGCGTAATAATTTTGCCTTTTCCAAAGCTACTGCACATCAAATAGTGGCAGATGATTGTTGTTCTTGTTGTTATTTAGCTGTAATGCCTCTAAAAGCAAGGCTTTTAACATCCATCAGTAAAACACAAATGCATGAGGTGGAAAAGTGAAAATTACATCTGTGTTTGTCTGCCTACAAATGATTTTTAGAGGCTCCCTTTGTACAAAATCAGCCCAGCTTATTCAACTTCAAATGGTTCTTCAGTCATATTTTATTACATTTTGTATTAAGCACATTAATCTGAGATGACGTGGCTGAATTAAAAATAAAAGTCTTGTTTGCTATTCATAATTACGCCTTTACAACCACTTAAAAATTGCTATTCAGTTCTGGAGTAGCTGAGTCTGAATACATTGTGTCTTAATCTCACTGCTGTAATTTGTGTATTTCAAACATTATGGTAATAGACGGTTTTACTGTAAGCTGTCAAGCGAAAGCAAAAACTGATTCAATATAAGTTTGTTGTCGCTGAGATCAACAAACAAGCCAAGCTTTGTTCTACAAACTCACAGCAGTTGAGGTTTATTCCAAAACCAGGCTGAAGGTGAAATTTTGGAGACTGATCCTCAGAAATTAACAAATAAACAGCAGCAACATTCGCACCAGATAAACAGGAGGGCGAGAAAACATTGTAGACGGGCATGCTGCAGTTCAGTTCCCGCAGGCAACTTGGACTCCGTCACTGGGTCTATGCTGAGAAACAGGCCTTTAAGAAATAATCAGAGAAAGTCTCTGCAAGTCGGCCAAGTCTCTCCCTCGCCAGAGCCAACCCACACAGGCCTTCAGCTATTTGTCAAATAAGTTATTACAACTCGGTTCTTCAGGCTGGAAGTGATGATACAGAGACAAACAGAAGGCAGAGCCAGTCGGGCCTCTGCTCCAAATGACTCCCGGATGAATTCGATCATTACGAATGCAACAGGTGAGTGACATTATGATGACTTTAGTACCAAGTTGAGTGTGCAAACAGAAGGGATTCAGCAAGCTCCATGTCAGACAGTTCAGGCATTTGCTAATACAATGATCAAGTCCCTGAGACAATAAAAAGACAACGTTTGGCCTCTGTTGAACATACGATGACTGCAAATGACAGCTATTCAGCATCACATAATTGTTCAGTGAACAAATGTCACAAAAAGAGAAAAAAGCTCATACAGTTTCCAACATCTCCATTTGCTCTTGCTGTCTGACAAAGTACAAAACTAAAAAGCAGCAAGTCCACATAGTACGTTATATTTGACACAATATCAGCAACTAAATGGGGAACAAAGTGGAGCTTTTAGCAGCTGAAGAGCCACATCATTCCCTCAGGAGCTGGTTGAGAGAAAACTAAACTAAAAGAGTGAACGTACATTTCATCACGTAGACACAAACTTCAACATTTGTGTTTATAGGTTGCTTCCACTGCCCCCAAATGGCCAAAAACAAACCAGTGCAGGGTTAAATACAGTAAGAAGAGGGGCAACACTTCAAAAGGGAGTCCAGAAACTTTACCACAAAGTAAGGCTTTAATGCAGTACTTCAGTGTCCTTCATTGTCATTTGCCTTTCTTTCATTTCATGCCTTGGGTTTGCTGATAAAAACTAGACATTTAACAAAATGTGGCACGTGTACATCATATTGATGATAACTTACGTGCACTGCTGGTGGCGAATAGATAAAGATTTCTAATATAAGATGCCTGGAAAGGAATAGAGGGAAATATTGATGAAATTGTCCTGGCACGTCATAATCTGAAATCATTTAACCTAGAAGGAAGAAGTCAAGGTTATGCTCACAGAGCGCTGCTATAATACGATCGGTAGCGTCAGTGATGATGCTTGACTTGGAGGGGGGGGGGTTCTGATTCCCACATCTGCTCTCTGCAAGATTTGCAGCTTAAAGGGCTTTTATAGGAGCGCCACGGCAGTGCTGCCCACCATCCTGCAGCAAATAACAGGTCATGGCCGAGCAGATTAACACTGGAGATAAGCAGCAATAGCAGCTGCGGACACCAGGCAGGCCAGTGCCTTGTAAAAAGCCTGTAATCACCCAGCAGCTATCGTCAAACTGTTTTGAACCGCTGGGAGACAGAAGGCAGGGTTTCAGTCAGCGCTGTCACCACTGACACTAAGAGGAAATACTGTCAGTGAATCCGCTGTTTGTCTGCAGCGGTGTTTAATAGGGCATCACATTTAGAGCTGAAACGATTAGGTGATTAACTGACAAGTTTACAACTGATTCGCGACACAGTGGATAACCGTAGTCATTACTTATTTCTTGTTTGAGGCATTTATCAAGCAAAATATGCCACACATTGTCTGATGTCAGCTTCTTAAATACCATTATTTAAATCAAGTATGTAAGTATTTCTTTTTTTCTCTGTTTTAATTAACTTAAAGCTGAATATCTGATTACTGGTCTGGGAAAAAAAATGAAGATTTCATGTAGGGAAAAGCTGTCATTACTATTTTCGCACCTAATGAGCAACTTAGCTGATCAGTCGATCACAACAACAACAACAACTGTAAGGTTCATATTTAATAAATACAATATTAACTTAGGGTTACCACACAACTAACATGGAGTTGCTTTTACCTATTTAGGAATTTGGGCATCTACTGTAAAAGAAAACCACAGCCAGTGATACAAAACACCCCAGTTTTGCCAGCAAATACTGGTAAGGCAAAGACAAACATATTCATTGCTGAACATGAGACCAGACATAAAGAACACTGAGGCTGTCACAGTTTGTATTAAATGTATTAACTGTGTCCACAAGTCTCCACAAAGGTTGACAAAGCAGATTATATTTGTACTTATAATCTTAACTTGTAAAAAAACACACTGCACTCTTTTAATAATGCACTCTTGGCAAGTATGGTTATTACAACAGGACATCATCTGATACTCATGAGGTCAAAAGTCTGGCCAAAGTTGTCATCACATTGCCTGTTGAGGACAAAGAAGCCACATGAGGCCGTCATCACCTAATAGGATTGATTTCATGCATCCCTATCACATCTCCATGCAGAAATACAGTCACCGAAATGAATTCAGTGTACTCATACAATTTCTCTAAGAGATAAAACACCTGCAAAGGTTGCTGTGACTTTCAAGTAGGTTGTGTGTGCTGCACTACTGCTCCACCTCCTGGCTTTGCACTCTGGTGCACAGGTGCAGCTTACTTTATTATTGCTGAGTTATCATGTTGGACAGCCACACACACACACTGTACTGAAACTGTCCAACACTTTTATGAATAGGACTGCTATGAGACAATGAACAGATGTAAAGGTGTACACATATTTTACTGTGATCAGATCCAAAGTGAAAGCACAGCATAGTCTGTTACAAGCCATAAGTTTCTAGAAAACCTTTGTGCTAAAATATCAAATGTATTTTATGAAATTAATGCAAACTTCACAATCCAAACAGCTAATTAGTTTACAATAGTGCAAACGTCTACCAGTGAATAAAGGTGAAGTCTTATTAAGGGCACAAAGTAGTACCGCCAATGCTTTTTTTCCGACTGCCCACACTCATTTACAGTCTTGAGGGCTTAGGTTTCACCTGTCGGATCAGTATCACCTGGCTAGTCGAGATGCTTGTAGCCAGGATCATATTCATTATTCAAGCTGCTCGAGCTCGTCTAATGAAAAAATCATGAGGTTGGTCTTTTCATCTCCTCTGCAGACCTGCAGATCATTATACTGCTTTAATAAGATACCTGAACATCTCCTAAACAGTTACAAGTACTTACTGGAGTATGCATGTGTGACAGACCTGATTATGTGACTCAGGAAAGAATTATGTATTAAACATAAGGCAGAGCAATCTGACGAGTGAAGAGGAGCTGAAACATGTCCAAGTCTCTGTAGCTGGTGTGGGTAGAAGAGGAAATCTGAACCCATTTAGCAGCTTTTTGTCATAAATTCATATCCAGTCTGCTTTATCTTTTTAGATATTCAACAGTACTTCAACGTAATGCACGGCATGTTATATAATAGTGAGAAAACCAAAGCTGATAAGGCCAGATATTCACACAATCAGCCATCCACAGGCCTGTCTACACAGGTGCTAGCTATTTTACTACCAATGCTACAAGACAGTGATGCACATTTCTTCAATAAATATCGCGTTATATTGCTTCACATCGTAAACACCAGGCATAGTAACTGTTACAGGAGACATGACATGTGATATTAGATCAAATGTGAGCACTGTGTTGTTGTTTTTGCTCCATTAGGAGCCTGGACAGACAGAGGCAGAAGCGGCTAGCTAGCGTTAGCTCCCCCAGTAACCTAACGTTAGCCGTGACACCTGACAACCAGCCATCTCATCTCATCAGCCTGCCTCGACAACAAAACCAGACTCTACCGCGACGTCTAGGGTGCTACCGGACGCTAAATGTGTGGCAGAGCGGCAGTCGGAGGCGAACGGTTCAGTAACAAATATTTTTTTTGCCGACAGAGTGAATTTTAAAAGGCTAAAATACCTGCTGCCTCCCCCAGATCCTGGCCGCAGCGCCATCTTGATAACAGCAGTCACTAGTAGGAGGATGACGTCAGCGGTGACGGTGGAGGAGGGACGTGGAGCCCTGAGCTCAGACTGCCAGGAGCAGACAGCTGCGCACAGCTGGAAAATGACTGGGTGGGTTAAAGTATGGAGTTCCTTTCTTTCTCCCACCTTTTATTTATGTCAGACTTATCTACAGTCGCTCACCTAGTTTCAGCAGTAGTCAAATAAAAAAACAAACCGGAACAAAACATTTTATTGTTTCTATAGCAGTGGATTTTTTCTACTTTCTTTTAGTGATAATCAAATTAAGGAGTTTCTTTCCTAATCTGACCTATTTTGTGTGTGTCAAAGTAATATGTATACAGTCTACAATGACTGATGTAATTACAGCAGCAGTCAAATTGTGTTTGATTTCCTAGAAATGTCAAGATAAAAATATATTTCTTTAAAAAACTAACTCTAACAAAATATCTTCACTGCCTCTATACCAGCAAGTTGTTTACACCATATACTATGGGCTTTTACACATTTTTAGGCAAATATTTAACACATTCCTGTACACCAAAAATATGTCTGTAAATTTGTAGTTCATGTAATCCCTTGGATTTGCTACACACACTGTCTATTGATTTGCACCATTTGCTTACTTATTTATTTGTTTGTTTGATTTTTGTTTGTTTGTTTATTTTTATTTATTTAAATCCTTGTTTAAAAATGTCCAATTGCTAGTGTTCAATCTTATGTACTAGAGCACCATGTCAAATTCCTGATATGTAAAAAACCTACTTGGCAATAAAACTGATTTAGATTCAAACAAAGTGAGACATTTATCTAAACAAATGAATAAAGCAGACGCTTCACATTTCCATATCTGCATTATAATCAATTGCAATGATTCCTTTTTAGTCCGTTTTATGTACAGGCCTTTTGATCCATTTTTTTAAATGTATGTCTTAAGAGAACTGCCTTGACTTTGCTGATATATTTTTCATCCCAGACTGTATTTGTTTCATTTAAATATTAGTTTGTAACACTGGATAGTGGATTGTTGGAAGTTTGTGAAAGAGACAAATTTGTGTAACAGATGTAAATATTACAAGCAACCATCTGGCCCATTTATTTCCATCTGATTCTCTTGTTTTTGCTTTTGATTTTGCTTCCTTCTTTTGGTGCCTTCCACTATGTTACAACTTCCAGTTGTCTTGTTCAGTCCTGAAAATCATGACAATCTGGATTCTCTGCATTAATGTCTTACTGGCTTCTTGTTTCCTGCTGAACACAGTCCGGGTTAGTGGTTCTGATCATATTTCTAGCAGCATGACTCCCCACACTGGATCCCTAACGATCAACACAAAGCAGTCAGTTAAATACCTCAGGGTTGTTTTTGAACTCCGATCAACACATTAGGACTCTTGCTCATTCCTGTTATCTACAAATCAGAAATGTGGCCAATGTCAACCACTGTGTGCCAGAAACATTGCTAAGTGATTTATCCACATCATTTCACATCATATTATCACCTGAACGAAGCAGCAATTGCCACTTTACAACTGATTCAAAATTCAGCTGTAAGATTACTCTCAAACACTCTGGAAACACATTACTCCAGTGATAGCTGAATTACACCGACTCCTCAATCGCTACAGAAAGCAATTTAACATTCTGGTAATTACTGGCAAATCTCCATTCTCTTGGTAATTCAAACCCGTTATTCTGCACCAAAATCCTTCAGATCAGCATTCAGTTGCAGTTAAAAACTACACCCTGGGCTTAAAACAAAAGAGGAACATGCTTTTACTGTTTTATGCTCTTGAACAAACCTCCGCCATTACTGTCAGAGTGTCTCAGTAAGTACCTCAGTTTAAAAAAAATAAATAAATCACACCCCACTGCATTAACAGACATTCGTATAATGTTTTATAAGATCCTTATCCTCGTAGTACTATTGCTGCTGTTGTTGTTACTCACTCTGGACAGAAAGGTCAACCTGAAAGGTAACCAAGAGGGCAACAAAATCCCATAGACGTCCTGCTTTCTGCAGTACATGGTTTCTACCAGCAGGTGTCAGTGTTTAGCTTTGCTGAGGTTTTGTTCTTGCACAAACCAAAACACTGCCTGGGGATTTATACAAAACCTGCATGCACTTACAGATGTAGTTAGAGTCAGGAAACTAAAAGTTAAAGAAAAATGTTACAGATTGCCTCACTAAAACTGTCACACCCTACAAGTCGTTTTTAAAAAAATATTTTCCACATTTCAGCAAAATATCTCATCCATTTTTAAGTCTTTTCTTTTTTTTTTTGCAGATTTTCTTGCAATACAATAGAAGAAGATTTTAACTTTTAGCAATGAATCTAAACACAAATCTATAACCCAACACAAAGGACCACATTATTGTCATCATATCAGAAGCAGATGGATACACGCAGAGTGAATCTAATATTAAAAAGCTGATTGTACACAAATACACATCTTTGCCAAAGCAGACACAACAGTATAAAGTAAAAAAGCAGACAGTAAAATGTAAAATAAAAGTCCCTGATTACAGCAGATCCCAGACCAGGATAGAAACAATATCTAGTCCTACAGAGATTAAAAGCAGGTCACATCTTTTATGATAACATTATTTTATGGATGTAGTAGAAGGATAAAGTAGTAGAGGGACAAACAGACATGCTTCTTTATCTGTGCTCCAGTTAGTAGGACACATTTTTTTGTACAGAAATACAGAATTTGAAAGAGTTTCTTTCTGTACTTATCAGTCATGAAGGTATTGGTCTTTATAAATGCTAATTATGTCTACTTATCTTAGTAAAATGGTCATTGGGCTCAATCTGAGCACAGAATCCAACTTTTTTTCATTTTCATTTGACACATAGAGCCAACTTTTAAAAATTTAGTGACAAAACTGTGCACAGAGACACTCTCCTATCTGTACCACATTAACAATAAGGGGAGATATGGGCTCTGTGGAGGACTTAAGCAGGCGTCTACTCACATCAGTTTTTTTGTCTTAAATTCTCCTCAGTGTCACTGCTGATCCATTAATGGCTACTCAGGCAACCATAATAAATAGGAACTGATGGACAGATCACCTTTAAGACAGTCCCCAACTAATGTATGGTTTTTAATAGCATGTTTAACGTATCTAAAGAAATCATTTTCACCTTTTTATGTCTATTATTGATGATATGTGATCCTTATATGACTTAATCAATAGCTTGATTTGTGCACTATTAAATCAAACATACTTTTCTTTCATTTAACCGCCCAAATCTTTACATTTTCACATTACTTTTTGCTTTTTAATGCTAAATATTCTGCATATTCTTTGGTTAAAACAGCACAGTAGCACATTTGTTATCATAATTGTGTCATTTATGTCGCCTACAACCTAAAATCTAAGCTGTCTCTTTTATTTCTTATCAACATATTTGTCTTCTCAGCTATTTTTAGGTGCATTATTCCATAACTATCTCCAATTTGCATCATTTAAAGTCTATTTTGGGATCAATATCGCTCGCTATATTTCACCTCAACACCTGCATCCATCCACTAATGTCTTGTCCAACATTTTTACTGGCTGCTTGAAGTACTGAAGCCATTGTGTGTCCTGACAAAGTGATTCAGTTTCATTGTTGCACCGATGACAAGGTGGAGCAACAAGGAAAAGCCTCCGCGGCATTGTCCCGGTGGGTGCTGTTGTGAAAGATTTACAGCTTAATGAGCGTAGTGTAAGGCAGCGGATGACAAGCCCCGCTGCTATCCATCACCTGGGCTGCCCTCAACCTTTCCTACCTCAGCTCTATTCAGCGCCAGTGATTCAGAGTCCATATACATGACAGAGGAGAGAAACGCTGCCATTTAGGCCTCAGAGCGACAAACAACGGAGGCAAATCTGTTTAAGAAACACATGAGGAATCTAGTTTTTTTTTTAGCTATATTGTACCACTTATTAGTGAGACAAATATATTCTTTCATCATTTTATAGTCCATAAATGTGACAGACACAGCTTTTAATGAGGACACTGATATCATGAATCGACCGTATTGTGCAATTGCAAATCCACACATAAAAGATGTTTTATGGGCAGATTCCACCCGTTCGGGCTCAATGTGATCATTTTTTATTGCTCTCAAGTCAACAGAAAGTATCTGATTAAAAAAATAGCTGTGGTGTCTATTTAAAACGAGGTCATGTGTTGCATTTGCTCTTTAAATTTGGGGAGAAGTTTAAATTGTTAAACACAAAATAAACATTTTTAGATTCAAGGCTCTCTCATTTATAGAATTTCCTGTCTTTAAATCTAATGTAAATAAGATTAAATAAACATTTTTCTCATTTCAGCACTTGGGCTTTGGATTGTTGATCGCTGTTTAAAATGTGGAAGGTCTTCACTTTTCTGTGTCCAGTGTGATGAGATAACACAGGTTGTAAATCTGCATTATATGAATAAACTGAACTGAACTGAATGGAGCTGTACACCCAGCAGTGTAAAACTTAACGGTAAAAACTCTCAACTCATTTAATCAAGTCTCTTAGCCTGTTCTAAAATCCTGGACAAGTACAACACTGCTGATATCATATCTTACTTTGTATGTATATATAAAGTTATTTAGGATTTTTTTTTTCATATAACAAAATAAAATTTAAAAATAAAAGAAAAAAGATATATCTTAATGCAATGGAAGCTAAAAGAAATAATAAAAATACTGAACTTAAACAAAATTTCAACCAGAGAATGTTAAAACTTGAGACAATAAGTGTTTACAAAAGTGAGGTCTTTAATACTACTACTACTACTAATAATAATAATAATAAAAGTTTTGTGTGGATAAAATATTGTCTAAAGCTTGCTTGAAACTTAAAATAACCTGAAAGAAATATCACACTCAGTCAGCAAGAATCCAAATAAACATTGAATACCTACTTTGAATTCTCAAAATCCCTCCATCTGAACTTTGCACCTGAAAGTAAAGAGAAGATTTTGACATAGGATTTAGACTTTTTTGTTGTTAAATGATATCTAT